AACGTCAGACTTGAAAAGGTGTGTCCGACCTAATTTCTTACCACTCTTTCTATAGTTTTCTCTTCTCCTTTATTTTTTATTGAACTCCATTTGACTATTGCAGGTGCCTTTATTTTCAAACTTATTTTCTGAGGTTTTTACAAGCATTACAAATTGCATTAGGACTTCTTTTCATGTTATAGTCCTGTCATCCTTCTAATTTGTTGCTACAAGTCTTTGTCCTGAATAAACCTTTCTCACCTTTTAACATCCACCTTTTGATTTTTTGGTTATGTCTGATATTTGAGTTTAATTTTACTTGTTACTTCAATGTCCAACACAAGCAACTTAATTATAGTTGCAGGACCGACCTGAGAATATAGGATGCAATAAATTGACGACTCTAAAAATTAATAAATTATATCAACCGTGTAAATATCGATAGAGGTATAAGTTTATGAATAAGCATAATATATCCTTAGAAATTAGGACCTTAATATACGAGCGCTAATGTCGGAATAAACGTTTGACAATACTTCTCTTCAAAAAGGGAGACAGGAGAGGTCTGAAGAACTATAGGCCAATCTCCCTGCTGCCCCAAATGTACAAACTGTTTATGAGTAATAACTAACAGGTTAATGTAGAAGCTCGATAGCTATCAACCGGTAGAGCAAGTAGGATTCCGAAAGGGTTATATTACAGCAGACCATCTTCTTACAGTGTATAGAAGAATCCTGAAGATATCATGGACCGTGCATGTGACAAACAACGAAGTCATGAAAGAATCAACAAAAGAATGGAAGTATTGGAAACCATCAAGACACGAAAGCTGCAATACCTGGGGCATGTTATGCGTAATGAGAGATACAACCTACTTCAATTGATTATACAAGGGAAAATCCAGGGCAAGAGAAGTGTAGGAAGAAGAAGAATCTCATGGTTGCGTAACTTGAGGGAATGGTACGGATGCACATCAATTGAACTATTCAGAGCAGCAGCATCTAAGATCAGAATAGCCATGATGATTGCCAACCTCCGTCGCGGAGATGGCACGTGAAGAAGAAGATCTTCTTACAGTCATAACGCTAATAGAGAAAGCCAATGAATATCACTTGAACTTATACATTGGCTTCGTTGATTATGAAAAGGCATTCGACTCCATAGAACTTTAGGCAATAGAGAGAGCTATGAACAACTGCAGGATAGACTCCCGATACAAAATGCTCATACATAATATTTACAAGAAAGCTACAATGAAAATACAAATAGATGCGAAAACCAAAGCTATACCAATCAACAGAGGAGTTCGCCAGGGAGATGTTATCTCACCAAAGCTATTCACACTTGGACTGGAAGACGTGTTCAAAGACATTAACTGGGCAGATAAAGGAATAAATGTTAATGGAAGAAAACTGAGTCATTTGAGATACGCTGATGACATTGTAATATTCGCTACAAGTTTTGAAGACTACAGACCAAGAACTACAGATCATGATGATGCAACTATTTCAAGCTTCGGAAAAAGTAGGTCTTAAGATGAACTTGGAAAAAACAAAAATAATGACAAATACAACATGAAACATTAAAAATAATAACGTTGAACGACATAAATTTAGAAACAGTAAGCGAATACATCTACCTGGGAC